CCAAACACACACATCTCTGTGCCAGGAAGGATGCTCCTGGGAGGCACATCTGCCAAGCTTGTGCAAAACCCCTTCAGAGTGGGAACTCACCAGGGTCTACCTGGGTGGTTTGGGCTCCTCTCTACTGCAAAGGGATCAGATACGTGACCAGCCAAACAGACAAAGCTCATCCCCTCCCTCTCGTGCCACAAGACTGGGTCCTCCGTAAGCAAGGCACAAAAAGCAGCACTATTTTAAGTGTTATTTATTCCCATGAGAAGAACAAGTAGAATTTGAGTTCCAGTTAAGGTTCAATGCACTAACTAAACCTCCCATTGCACTCTTTTATTTTTTTCAATTGCCACATTTGTGAGGTGACCCACACACCTTTGTTCCTTCTTCAGGCTCTGATCTTCACAGCATTGAAATGTCACAGACTAAAGACTAAAGACTGCCATTTTCAGAGAAGGTTTCCTTCCTGCTTCTCCAAGAGCAGGGGCTGGTCAGCAGCCCCTGTGTCTGTGCTGTGCTGTAAGAGGGGACAAATTTTCAAGTCTTGTTTGTTCAACTCTGAAATTTTTCTTCTATGGGACTCAGGATGTATTTAGGAAACAGTAAAGATGCAGGACAGTTTTGGAGAGGAAGTAGGATGTTTTAGATATGCAAAAAAATAATTACTTATGCTGAAACTGGGTCAAAACACCACAGTGTTTACCACGGCTCTCAGGAAGAGTGCCATGGGTTTTTTAATAACAACAAAAATTCAAGATCTCAGCATTGGGTCTCATCCCAAAAAGCAATATGGTTTCAGACCAAATGGAAACTAATCCAGCCTATAAATCATGATGCAGTAAATGCAACATGCTCAGTCCTGAACCCAGTCACTTTTGGTCAGCTAAGGCTGATCTTCCAGACAGCTTTGTTGCAAAGGCAACAAGAAATTGAGCACTAGTCTTCTTGATACCACCTGCCTTCCCTTCCCTTCCCTTCCCTTCCCTTTTTCCCTTGCCATTGCTCCCATCACTAATTATGTTCATTGTTTCAGCTGAGTTATATTATTTTTTTAATTAATCCAGCTTCACCTTCTAGCCACTAGATTCTTTCTCTGCAAGGTCAAAAGCCTCTTAGCACCTATCATTTCTCTCCATGAGGGAATTTACTACACCCGTCACGTTTTAGTCTTCCTTTAGATACTCTAAGCTAACTGGTCTTGAAATTTATCAAGACCAGATATTTTCCTCAGTTCATAAATCCTTTTAGTGATTCTTTTCCCTACCTTTGCCAATTTTTAAACACCCTTTTCAAATGTGGATGCCAGGTCTGGATGTAGCATTCCAAAGTAAAATTGCGTCCTTACTCCTACTCACTATTTTCCTGGTTATTTGTTCAAGGAGTACATAAGCACTTTTGGCTACAACATTGGCAACTCTTGTTTGATTGCACGTCCACCTAGGCATCTAAATTTACAGATCAAAGGTTGGACTTGATGATCCTGAAGGCCTTTTCCAACCTAAATGATTCTGTGATTCTGTGAAATTCTACTCCCCTCTCCTAGATATACCAACTTCCATCAGATAGCTTTGAGGAAATATTAAGAAGTGTTTCCAAAACATGTTACAAATATGTAGTGGAGGCCTCAAGCCTTTTGCAACATATGGAGCAGAAGGCACATGAAAATGCTCCTCAAGCCTTCAGTTTCCTTCTCACTGGCCCACTGCAACAACCCTTGCCCTATATTTAATACTGAATTCAGTGTATTTGACAAAACCCTGGAATGTCCAGTGTATACAGACTTAGAAACTGGAGGATCTGTGAGGAATGAAGTTCGTGACAGATGGATAAAGGAAGATCTGGAGCTGTGATTACACAGAAAGAATTGAAGTCCATTTTGAGTTTCTGCAGCCTGTGCTCAACTAAGGCTCTCAATAGCAAGGACAGTATGTCACTCCTAAAATCCCTTTTTCTCTCAGAAAGGAGCAGAATTTATATTATTTTTGTGTAGGAACAGACACTAAATCACCTGAGTTCTATATGGCAAATGTTACAGAGCTGATGGATGGCTTTGTCTAGCTCTACAGCAGCAAAACAAAAATCAGCTACTTTGGCTCCTCACTTCACACCCAGATTTTTGCCCTCTGATCATTCACAGGAAACAAAACCCAACTGCAGTTCTGGAAAGAGCCAGACACCCTTTACTCCCTTTGGGCAGCCTGTCCAAGGCTGGTTCTCTTTGCCTGGGGTGGTTCTCCAGAGCACCAAGCCAAGCCTGGCAGCTGCACCCACTCATACCACACCAGCACACACCCTCACTGCCTTGCTGAAAACACCACTCTGAGCTACAGTAGGGACCTCGTCTTATTTCAAGAACTTTGAACAGAAGAAAATATTATTCTGGATGAGGGTGTCAGGAATACTACTAAAACAGGACCTAGGGAAGATTGGAGGCCAGGGTAAACACACATGGACGGGAGCAGTCTGATCTTGAGGGGCTACTCAAGCAAATTTGAGCCTTCTAATATTGCTTGAGTGGGGACTCTGAAGCAGATGCCCTGGGACATTTGGTATTTAAATTTTACTCTTTCCAGAGAAAAGGTGCTAACAACAAAAGTGGCCATATGCCTTTTCCCTCCACCTCCAAAAGTCAACTCTCAAGCTTCATTCTGGCACTAAAAAGATGCTCTGGGGTCCACCTAGCTTGTTCAGCTTCACTAGTAACCAAAACTCATGGTCAAGCTCTTTGCTCTTTTGCAGCCCAGCCCAGGGCTGTCACTGCAGAGAAATGGTGATAAGTGAGGAAAGCTTTTGGCCAGGCCATCCAGCAGTGATATACCGGCAATATAAGAGCCAGAGCAAAGTCCAGCTCACACACTCAGAGTTGTGCTGGCTCAGCAGGACTAAAATATAAAATAATTCTTTAAAAAAAAAAAAAAAGCTTTATTTTGTCTAGGAGTAGCAGCTCCAGCAATCAGTACATTTGGAAAGCAGATTTGGTAAGCATGGAAGTGTGTTCTCGCAGCCTTTTTGTATGTAAAATCATAACACAGAACCTGGCTTTAAGGTCCTCAGCACCTTTTCACTAAGCCAACATAGTGCTGCACCCCCTTTGACTCTTACAGAGGGTTGAAAACCTGACAGTTGTGCTTCTGGTCCAAGGAGGCAAAGCATTCCTTTCTTGATTTTTTTTTTTTTTTGCTGATAAGAATTAATTGGAAACACCTTCCCTCTGAAATACTGGGGGTTTCTAGCGGATTTTAGTCTCCTGATATCACCCAAAAGAGCATTTTCATCCTCTAATCCAAGAGGAAGGTTTTCACATAGGGCATCTTTATATACCCCCTGCAGGACTTACTGTCTGCAGGAACCACCCTAAGGTAGACCCTGGGCTAAGGTGGTGCTGAGAAGGGAGCAGGGCCTCCTAGGAGCCCTCTGAAACAGGAGCCACAAGGTTCCAAGGCAACGTGGCGTCCACAGGCCACCAGCAAGAGCATCAGCAACCAGATAACATTTCCTGCTGGGTCAGCAGCCTGAAACTGGAACACGCTGGTCTAAACCTCCTGTTCTATGGTAACTCCAAGCAATGCAGCTCTGACACGCCCAGCAGGTATGTATTATGTGCTAAGCTTTTCAGAAATGGCACACTGAACATCACCCCAGCACGAAAAATGGAAAAGAAAAATAGAAACAAGAAAGGTTGCTGACCCTAGCTAAGGTTGAACACTGCAACACCAGTTAGCAATAGCTTTTTCATCCATTTAGATGCCGACACTTGTAAATCACAAGTGGCATTTTAGCCAGTAGATGCTTCAAGAGGAAAGATATCCACCTTCTTGTCCACACCTTTAGTTTTTCAAGCCTGGTGTTTCTCTGCATGGCTCAATTTGCACTCAGATAGGTATTTGTTTCTGTAAATCACCAGATCCAAACCCACATGGCCCCAGGGCTAGCAGGGCTGGGGTATCTGGCTACATTAACCCACAGGTACCCAGGATGTGAGGTGGCCCAGCAGTGAACATGGCATGACAATGCTGTCAGGAAGGGTAAGTGATCCCCACTCCTGGCTGGCCACAGGAGTCCAAACCCCAGGAAAGGCTGAGCCTGATCAGTTTTTGCTAGGATCAGTTTTCCTCCTGAGGCTGGGCTGCTGCATTCATCCCACGGTCCTCACAAACACCTAGGTGTAAGGAGGCAGCCCCAGCTGTCAAGTTTGGAAAACCAAGAGGCAGATTCTCAGCTGGTGCAAGTCAGCATAGCTTCACTTCAGGCCAAGGAGCTTCCCCAGTTAGCCCCAAAAGAAGGTCTGGCCAAGAAAGACAAAGGAACACACTGCAGCCACTCCATGGGTATGGAGGTTGGGCATTCCCAGTCCAACAGCACTGCTGCCATAGCTGGAAATCACACCTGGCAATTAGTCTGGCCCAATGATCTGAGCAATTAAGAGAACCAGTCCTCAACCAGTCCTCAGAGCCACCAAGTGGAAAAGGTTTTCCACTTTTCTGAGTAGCTAAAATTCTCCGTCTTCTCTTCTCAGCAGCAGTGCCTTTAGTTTTTGCTGCTCTTCACCTTTGGCCACAGGAGGATGCCAGCAAAGCACTCAAAGCCTCTGCCACTCAGCAGTTACATCTGTAGTGGGCAGATAAATAACATCCTGATATTTGCCTACTCAGGGAACTTGGGTGACACCCTTTAGCTATGGTGTGAAGGGCAAGCAAAACAATAATAGTCCTCACAGGGCACGGGCTCAGTTCCCCAGACTTTCACCACAAAAGCCTCACGTGTGCCCATGAGGAGCCTGTGTTGGTAGGTGGAAGCCTTAGTTTTACAGATCATCAGAAGGTGTAGTGAAGGGAATTGCAGAAAAGTCACACAGTGCAGACTTAGACAGGCAGAGCAGGCACCTCAGCTGGAGACCTTCCTTGTAGCCATCAGACACGCCACCTGTACCAGGTACATTTCCATAGCTTTTAATGCAGCTTAACAATGGTGCTGGAGACAAAGGAAAAGGCACACGGTACAGAAAAAAATATCCTAAAATGATACCCTTTTATTTGTAAAGCTCTGATGAAACAACTTTCCAAATGATGTCCCACTTAAAAACCAATGAAAACCAACCTAACTATGCATCAGTCACACTATACAGATTGCATCCTACATTTTCAAGATGCCTAGATATCTTCTGTAGTATTTACATATTATCAGTTAGGTAGTAAAGTTTCATTGCAATTTGTTTCTTTCCACCACACTTACTCAATGGCAAAAAAACTCCTTGGGCATGCATTTGCATTTTTGTACAACACTTTGGAGCAAATGGCTAGGGCAATTTTCCTGAGAGAAGGCTTGTTCTTTGAAACTCTTGCTTTAACAACTGGAAATACAGAAAGTGGATGCATTTTTGTTGTGCTAAAAAGCCTAAGGATGCCTAGTTAAGTTTTTTCTTTTAAATTATTTACGTACCATTAAGTTAAAATGTTTACATTCATTCATTCGTATAAAAACCGTTGTTAAATCTTATGCAAATGATTTAACACTGATTGCTGCAACGCAAATTGCACTTCTTTAAAAAAATTATTGTATATATGGAAGAAAAATATCTGATTGCTACCCTGTTTACAAATTTTGACTGACTCTACACAGTTCAGCCAGGAAATATGGACTTTCATCAATCTCAGTCACAGTGTACTTTAAAAGTTATATCGCAGTCTTGAAAAGTGAGTAAATATTTTAAACCAAAAAACACCAATCCCAAAATCTCCTTAACCAACTGGACCTTGTGGGACTTGTACCAAACGTTGTGATTTCTTCCAGGGACATAGCTGGGCTCTGAAGAGCAGAGCAAGGCACGCTGAAGATGGAGACCACGGAAGGAGAGGTCTGACGGGGCGAAGACATCAAATCTTCGGTGCAAGAAGTCTGCGTCAGCTCAAGCTGTAAGCACTTCTGACACTCATTAAAAAGTATCTCACTATCTCTGGTAATTAAAGTCTTTGCTACTCCCTCCCAGACACTTCCACCAAATTCTTAGGGGAAAAGGCGATGAGAGAGTGAAAACAACTATATAATCAGAAAGGCAGCGCTGCTGGGTAAGTTGAGGATGTATTTCTGGAATCTATCAATAGGTGTGGGTTTATCTCTTCTTTTTTGTTGTTGTTTTTTCTTTTCCTTTTTTTTCTTTTTTTTTGAGGTTTTTTTTGAGGGGGGTTTTGAAAGGTTTTTTGAGAGTGTAAGGCTGCATTAGCTATCCCCGGTGGGATTTGCTTTCCCTACATTTTCTTGCATAGATGAGGAACTGGATGCTTTGGCAAAGCCTCTTTCAGAAGTAGAAAAACACCTCTGCCACCAAGGCTCAAAAACTGTTTCAGAGGAATGGTCTTTGCCAGCACTGTCACTGCCGCTGCCGCGACCGCTCCGCAGAGGAAACCGCGCGCAGACGTCTGGGGGCTGCCAGGATCCAGCTTCCCTCCCAGCAGGTCACGCCAGAGCCAGGGCACACCAGGGATCCTGTCTCACGGATGCTGTCACTTCGGCCGTGGAGCTCAGGCTGACTCCTGTGTACAGCCCGTCTTGACCTGAATATTTAAGGTTGCTGCTTTCGGGACTGGTGCTCTCTCCTGGGCCAGACATCACCGACGAGCTCGCCTGCAGGGAGGGGCAGAGCAAAGAGAGACTCATTGAGCAGGTGAGAGCAAAGACAGATTCATTGAGCTTTGCACACACTGGGGCGCGGGTGAGAGCAGAGAGCACAGCGGGCCTGAAGCACAGCCATCATGGCAGGATTTCTGTACAAAAACAGGGTTTGCCCTCTGCTTGCCCCTGTGCCTTGAAATCCTGAAACAAAAAAATGTCTCAGCATGAGCCCAGCCTCCCAGCCCTGCTGATGACAGGGATGTCTGTGCTTGGAGAGGTAGAAATGAAACCATGTGATCTGCAGAAAACATGGAAATCAGCTCATGATGAAGAAGGAAATGTGCACGTGTCCCACTGCCCCCTACTGAAAAGACATACTTGCCAACACCAAAAATGTGATCCGGCAGTGGTGGCAGCTCTAGTTTTTCAGCCCCATGGGAGAAGCCCAATACATCCTAATTCTCCAGGAGGAGACATGGAGCACCTTCTGGAAAGCAGCTTTCTTTGGGCTCTTCAGCCCTTGAAATGTTTAAAATCATTCCTAACCCTTGAAAACACCAGCCAAAACCACTTTATCCCTGTAGGACTGGCCACTAAAGGAGATGCTCTTTTAATCTTCAGTGGAGAAACACTATGCCTTTGAAGCAGGAGTATTTTTGTTCTGCTGACTGCACAAGACAACATGCAGGGAAGCTCTGGTAGGCACGGAGATGAACCCCTGAACCACACTGGAATCAGTCCATTTATTTTAACAGAGAAATGGAGAGTTAAAAAGACAAAGGAACAATCATTTTTTCCATGAGGCTGAGCAGATCTGCTAAAGAGGAAAAATTCGCAGTGCCAGACAGAGAAGGGGCAACATTTTCACCTGATAAAGGAAATGTTTAAGAGCTGACTTCATGCAAAATTAACTCTTGGATGTGTCAACTTTAAAGACTTAATTTACTTGTTAATGGATAGTCTTTGGATGAAATTCCTTAAAAAAAATAGGAAAGAAAAAGGCTGTCCTAAACTGTGACTGCAGAAGCTTCCTGCCTGCTGTTTAAGTACGAAGTATACATATTTAATCATTTTACAAGAGTAGAGCTCTTGGCTCTCCTGGAGCTGTGCCAAGCGAGCAGTCCTGACATAGGAAAAGCAAGGCTTCATTAATTCAAAGGTAATTTCCAAATGGTGTGGAGCAGGGGTCTTGTTGCCGTGCTTAACCCAGGGAAAACCTTGCCTTCTGAAAGAGATACTCACTGTCAGCAGTCATTTTTGTCTGAAATAACCTGGACTCCAGTATTTTCTCAACCTTTTATTAAAATGATTGACCAACAATATTCTTCCACCCAGTAATCAACCCTGATCCCGCTCCATTAGGCACTACACAGAAATGCAGAGAAGGAAAGAAAAAAATAAGGTGTCCCCCAAAACCAGCTGAAATATCTCTAAGCCTGAGAAATAAGTTTTATCACTCCCTTGAACACAGAGTTGTCAATCAGTGACAACGAATCTCTCTATCCTCTTTCCCTGTGACTGTGCATAGAGAATTCAGTGAAGCAGGTTCCATGCTAACCTTTGTGTACAGTCATGATGTTGCATCAGCCTAGCCTTTCAAAGACTTCCTTTTCTTTCTAATCCCTCAAATATTTCTGTTAGCACAATAGATGTAATTTTTAACAGCTTCAGTTTCCCCCAGTTGAAGAAGGGTTTAAATTAGTTGAGCAGTGTTTGCTAAACCTGAGCTAAAAATACTAGGAAAGTGCTTTGAAAGGTTCCCATTTGCCCATATTTGCCACTGCTGTTCTGGTAGGCAAATATCTTATCAGTACCTGTTTTTTCCAGGCTTGGAAAGTGTAATTCACCTTTTCCTGATTCAGCCCTACAAAGGTGGGGTGCAGGGACCCACAGTTTCCATATGGGGTTATCAGGTACCCCTCCCTCGGGCACCCCAGAAGGGAGGACATGGAGGCACGTCCCCTTTGAAGACTGCCCATCCCTGCCTGGCCAAGGCCGGATTCTGGCTCTGTTGAGCCAGGACGGGCAGGACCCGGGCAGCACTGCCAGGCCTGGAAACCCCACCCCGGTAACGTCATGACAAATCCAGGCAGCTTGGGCAGCTCCCAAAGTGAGACATGGAAAACAAACTTTGGCTCATGAAAAGGACATGACGGAATCACAGTTCTGTTCCTGAGCCTCCCTACCTTTGCTCTTACTTTTCCAGCTTGAAGGGATGAAAGATGACAGAAGTTGCACTTAGTTATTGGAGGACTTTTTTCAGCTGAAATAAATAAGCTGAACAATGCTGATGAATCAATGGGGTCTAATTCATGGCTACCGGCTCTATCTATGAAAAGGTAATGCCTTTATTTTTATTGGTGAAATCTGATAATAGCATAGATAATCAGCTGAAGGTCAGCTTTCAGAGGAAAAAATGAATGAAGCCCGCTGGGAAGAGCCTGCCTCCCAAACAAGCAGAGAGGTGTGTTTGTATCTGCAAAGGTTCTTTTTACCCAAATCAGGAGGAGCTGGTCATGAGTCAGCCCCCAGGCAGGTTGTCTCTATGTGAGGTGGCCTTTCTGTAGAAGATCTGCCCACCATGTACAGAGGAAGACCTCTGCCAGAGCCACAGAGATAACTAGATTGCACCCAAACCTGCCATCAGGATTTAGGGGCAAATTAACTTCCTCAAAAGCTGCTCCACATCAAAACCAGGCTGCTCAGGCTGCGCTTGCCAGCACCCAGGGAACAGCAGCAGCAGCAGCTCTGGCTGAAAGACTCCTGCTTTCTTCTACCCACTCCTTCCTGTGCCATCTGCCCACCACAGAGAGCAGGGAGAGGGGATGGACACTTTCCCCTCTGGCCTTTCCCCACACCTCCGCAGCCACGAGGGAAACACGCTGGGCAAGGACAGCTGGAGGGGGTGGTGAAGGGCCTTGAGCTAGACCTTTGGTCTATCAGATAGACCTTTGCTCTATCCACTTGACACGTTCAAAATGCTCCATGAATTTTGGACATTACATTGAGTCAGCAATAAGCTGAGTGTCAGCTGAGACTCTCTTCCTCCTCAGCCTAGTTTACTTTCGCAACACTTAAATGATATCTACAGTCAGTTAAAACACATTTGCAAAGAATTCTTCCACACAAGAAGTGTTGTGGCAAACTGGTGGGGTCCTTCATTTTCTAGCCTCAGCCTCCCTGCAATAACTTCCATCCCCACAAAGAGCACGTTTTCCCAATACTATCACTCCCTGGAATCCAAAGAGCAAGTCTTGGCACTGCAAAATGACAGCTTTTTTTACTGATGTAACGACCCTCTTAGTACACAAAGCTGTCATTTCTTGCTAGTCCAATTGATCCTTTTGTTTATACTGCAGACGTGTAAGTTTACATATCTTCTAATCTCTCCTTTGTATTATAGCAACATAAATCTGTGGTTAATACTTCATTAATTTCCTAAGGGAGGCAACTTCCAGCATGGCTTGGAAAACTGATGACCCACTGCTGTCAAGGGCTGTATGAGTAACTGGCTTTATTGCTTTGGCAATAAAACAAAACCAAGCAAAAGGTATGCGTCCATGTGCATACAGAATTTTGGGATAGAAGCAAAAATACTTTTTCTTTGCTTTTCCCCACTGAAACAAAAAAGCTGGATTGCTTCCTTCTGTTTGATATAAAAATGAATGCCTTTTTTTGGACACATATACAGAGAGCAAAGAAAATTACTCAATGTAAAAGAAAAAGATTCAGTGTATGAAACTGAGTGGGGAGAAGAAAGTAGCTTCCCATTTTGTCCAGGACTGAGCACTGATGCAGAAGACATAGGAGACCAAGAAAAATTTAAGCTAGAGTCTAGAGTATCATATCTCCCAGCATACTGCCCTGTCTGCCACGCTCTTTGGTATTTTAGGTTGCCATGTTCCTCATGCCTCCTGTTGATCTTATTCCACCTGGTGTAGATAAATATTTACTCATACCAGGACTGAGGCACCGTGTTCCCATTTTCCAGGTGAAAGTCCTACCAGCCATGCTGGTGAGCCTTTCTCATGGAAACTGTCCCAACGCCTACAAAATTATTCCATACAATTGGAATATTATCATCAGATAATCTGAAGGACCCCTGGACATTCAATTCCCCTATATCCAGGTGGTTAGCATATTGTTTTAAGATGTTGAATCTCTGGTTCATCCAGACTCTAGGACATACTATGGAGGCTGATTTCCCCGTAGCCAGCATGAATGTCCTACCAATTTACTGCCTAAACAGGAGCAAACGACACCACCTCTAATCAGCTCACTCTTCTTCTGACAGGAAAAAAAAAAAGAGAGAAAGCAAATGCAGGAGAAGCCATTAATCCAATCCACGTCCATTTGTCCAGCATTTTGGAGACAGTTAAAACTGCATTTTTCCTCCTAGCTCACCACATGCCAAGGCTGTCTCAGTCAGCTCTCCCTCTCCCACCCTACAAAACTGAAAAGCCAGTCCTGAACCACTTCTCAAGGGAAGTAAGCACTAGTATTTCCTCCTAAGTTTTTTTGTGGTGTGAGGTTATGGTCCTTCTGAGAAAACTCCAAACTGGAGGCAAAGGATACAGGAAAGTCTTCTGAAAGAAGAGTTCCCCTGGTACTGCTGAGTTTTTCTGACATCAGTTGTGGCTCAAGGAGCCTCCATGTCCTGCCATAAAAAGTAGATTTTTCAGCAGGTTTCATCATGCCTTTATCCTAATAAGGGAATGAAGTCCTTCTGGTTATCACACTTGTTGGAGCCCCTGCATGGAAATGGATGGGTTTGACTGCAGACCATGCCCTTCATTTAGCAATTTATTTGGTGGAGCTTTTCCCTGTACAGTTTCAGCAGCATCAAAGGGAGAGCAGGTATAGATGCAGATGCAGGCTGTCTGAAACCTTCAAATCTTCTTTTTATGGGGACGTAAGGCAACTTCATATATCATGCAGCTGGACCCTTTCCATATTAGTAACACAGGACACCCAGTACTTATACTGCTTAGGAAAACAGAAATAGGCCTAGATCCTAGATCCAGATGTGAGTTTGGCAAATAGCCCCTTTACAATGGGACAACGAAATATCTCCGATCCAAACACTTCTACATTTTGGGATGTTTGAAATCAACTTTGCCCCCACAGCAATTCATTAATCGTATCACTTAAATGTTTAAACTTCAGCTAGAACGTAAAATCAACATTTAAGGTTCTTGCTAATTTGTCTCAGAATTGGCATAATATAAGATTCCCTTCATGAAATGGATAGTCTCAAAGACATTGCCAAGAGTAATTGCTGCCCTACTCTTTTTCTGCCCTCCCTTCTTTATTTTACTTTAAAAGAGATAAAGAAAGGTAGGGCAAAAAGTGAATGTTACTGACACAAATGAATTCTGCTGAATTTCATTTCCATTAGATTTCTACATAACTGGAAACTATTTTGGCAGCCTCCCACAAAAGGCATAATAAATTGCTTTTGTACCAGTAGAGGAATTCGTCTTCTCTGTTTCATTTAGCAAAAACATTGCTGTGAATTTCACACAACAGTTTCTAAAACGTCATCAAATTTCTCTGCCTAATGTCAATTTGGCATTTTCCCCCTCTTCACAGAATAAAGGCTAGAGAAGCAAAAACAGAGCAAAACAAAAACAAGTTGCCATGCCCGTTGTGTAACGCACAGGGAACAAGCCAGGTTTGCTATTCAGGCAGGTGCCTGTTTATCAGCAACATCACCAACACCACTGTCAGGAATCAACATTGGTCTTTTTAAAGTGGCCAAAGATGACAGAGCCTGGATTCATCCATCTGAGAGTTTGTTTTTTTCCTTCCAGACATGAGCTGGAGAATTTTATTCTCCTTATACAAAGCCATTGCCTATTCTAGAAATAATTACAAACCTTTGATCTACCAATAGGTCAACTCAAAAGGAAAAAAGAAAAAAATAATCAAGAAAACAGAAGTCTAGCAGAGCATCTTTGCTTCAGCATGTGATCAGGTTACAGGCTGCCTTGCTCTAAAATGCTGACATCCCTTAACTCACAACAGCTTAAATGGGCTTTATGAGTGCACAGTCCCTTCCATAGGATTTAGACCCTTTAGAAATTATTTTGCATCCTTTGCAGCTAGTGTTCATGTTCCTAAACTAAGTCTGGGACAACAGGAGCCCATCTTAACAGCCACCATTTTCTGCTTTAAACTTCCAGCTTCCCAAGTCCTCACCCCTTTGAATTACAGATGCTTGGGCAACGCCAGAAGCCTGAGTGAAGAATGTGACCATGCCCGTGACATATCTTGACAACTGCTCCCTTGAAAATCCTCTTTTCATTCACATACATCTGGGACTGGGGCACAGAGTTGGGAGATCAGTAGCCCTTCAAAAAATTTGGGATGGACTCAGAGGGATGCCCATACATCTGGTTGCCACTGTAACTTCCTCTCTTCAGCACATGTTACAGCCCCTCTCCATCACTTCCACTCACTAGAATTTTTCACAAGGGGGTATTTGCAAGTGCTTTGCATATGCAAGGCACATCTGATCAAATCATGGTGGGGAAAAGGCTATGCAGATGTTACCATGCTGCCTGCTGGATATAAGGGGACAGATTTTGCCAGCTGTTGCACAGGTGTCCTCTCCCAGTCTGATCTACCATAGAAAAATCAGGGAGAACTGTAGTCCTGTCACTGGGGATGCCATCATGTAACTAAGAGCAGCCTCAGGGTCCCTCCTGGGAGTTGTTCCTTGTTGCTAACAGTTCTCAAGGAGTCTTTTAGCCCTCAGTCCATGCCCCTGCACCCCTCTCCTCTGGTACCCACACAACTCCATCTGGCAAAACCATATTAAAAATGGTACTACTAAAATTATAACATAAAGATTATTAATAATGTGTTTGATGTGCCCTTCTAGGGAGAAATACCACAGAAAGGAAGTCAGGTTTTAGCCAGCCAAGAAGGCAGCAGCATAGTGGAAATGAGATCTCGTCTGTATGGCCTCTCCTTCCCCGAGCAGCACACAGCTGTGCTGCCACAGTCTCGGCTGGGATTCCATGTCTACCTGTTACATAAATCTCACCACATTGCTCAGGATCACTGGTACTGCTCAAGGTAACGCAAGGAAAATTTAAGGAAAATTTGGCTACATTTTTTCCTTTGCAAAAATCAAGGGAGAGCCTAAACAGTGCATAGTAGTTCCTTGGGGGAGTCTGAAACCCAATTCTGAGACTGCAACAGTTCACTTTTCAGTTAGGGTTTCTCTTTTTTTTTTTATGTGATCTGTTTATTTTACTGGATTGACAGGGTTTTCTCTTGTCAAAGACAAGCCTTTTTAGTATCATCCTAGTCTCACAGGATCCAAACCCAAAATCCAGTGCCTCTGAAAATGGGTGGCCCTGTCAGTCCACAAACAATCGCATTTGCTAAAAAATGAGTTTTTCTTCCCCTTGTACAATGAAACTTTGTACATCAGAAATTAAACTATTGAAAGGAATTTGAATGTAGAAAATCCAAGACATACTGAAAAATAGCTATTATAAACAATGTCTTCTTTTCATTAATAAAGAACTAAGGAAAGCCACATTAGAAAAGTTTCTCAAAGAAACGATGTGGCAGATTAAGGGATACAGAAGGCAGAGAAGTGAGTGTGGATATGGATAGGTACAGCCAAGGGGTTAGAAATTAATCTACATTAAGCTTCACAACTTTAGCAGTAGTATTTATCACACATGCTGAGTGAAGAAAGGAAGTTTGTGATGGTTGGAGTACATGATGTAAAATAAGGATCAAAGCAAAGCAGGGGATGATCAGCACTCCTCGGGTGCTCCTCTGGAGCTTGGTGCTGCCAGATGCTGAGCATCTGGCCCCTGAAGAACCCTCTGCGGGCAGAGGGCTGAACCCCCATGCACTGCAATCAGCAGGGTGCTCCAGCCTGGCTTCAGCTGAGGTTGGATCAGGGTTTAATTGCACATTTTAGTTTAAAACAAAAGCCTGTATGATTTACTTCATACAGCAGGATAATGTTTTTCTGGATTTTACCCACTGAGATAATGCATTAAAAAAAAAAAAATATATATATATATATAAATTGGCTTCTTGAAAGGATCAGTTGGGCATGTTTTATTGTCTTCTGTCCAAAAGAAAACCTCTGAAATGAAAGAACCTGAATATTTAAAAACAAAATGTCTGTGGTTAAGCTGCGGCTAACTATCATAAAAATTATATAGATCTTAATCAAGAAGGTTTGCAAAGTACTTCAGCTTGTCGTTCTGTTTACAGCTATATGTAATATCCTCCGAAAATCTTGTTCTAGTATCAGCTAACAAAACTGGAAAGTTTGTTTAGATTATTGTTCTGCTAGATAAGATAAAAGCTGTGATAACATTGCCCAGTGATCAGCCTGCCTGCAGACAGACACTCACCCCGGAGGCTGCAGTCTGTGCGCCGGGAGAAGCGGTTTTGCTACAGTCATCTGAGTTGGTAGAAGACGTGGATGTCGGAGTCATAGGAACTGCAGTAGTACTGTTACCTGGAAAATTGGGAATTGCTATTAAAAATAAATATTTTCCAGACAGAGAAGAAAAAAACAAGACAGCTACAAACTATTGCAGCTACTCTTTCTTATATTTTATATTTACCGGAGCATGCTTTTGATTTATTTATATTCTTAGGTTTTCGCTTCCTCGTCTGAATTCCTTCTTTTTTCATAGCAAGAGGCCGAGGAACCTGAAAAAATTAAATTTCCACACCAATCACAGAGTTGCATAGGTACTGTAATCAAAAATCAAAATGCACTACAAGATCAGATGTTGCAAATGTCTGTATAGCAAGTTAATTTTCTGTGTTAGAGTACAATTCTTGCTATTAAAAATAAATATTTTCCAGACAGAGAAGAAAAAAACAAGACAGCTACAAACTATTGCAGCTACTCTTTCTTATATTTTATATTTACCGGAGCATGCTTTTGATTTATTTATATTCTTAGGTTTTCGCTTCCTCGTCTGAATTCCTTCTTTTTTCATAGCAAGAGGCCGAGGAACCTGAAAAAATTAAATTTCCACACCAATCACAGAGTTGCATAGGTACTGTAATCAAAAATCAAAATGCACTACAAGATCAGATGTGATGTTGCAAATCTCTGTATAGCAAGTTAATTTTCTGTGTTACAGTACTAATTCTAAAAAATATTTGCATTTTATTTGGGCAAAACAACAGTTTGATTCAAGGGGAGTCATAGCTGAATTAAGACAGCAGGGAAACTTGTTTTATCTATGCAAACGTCATAATTTTTTCAACCCCTCAATCAATCCACAGGAAAACACCACAGAATTAGGGAAAACCAGCATTATTTGGCAGTAAGCCATAAGAAATTAAATTGGATGGGGTATATCTGATCCTTGATTTATTATTCCTGTCAGCTAGGAATTATCTCCACTGCCTGATTCTAGAAAGAAAAAATGTGTATGAGAAAAAAAAAATCATCCTGTGGACCAGCTTTGCAAACCAGATCATCACAAGGAAATGTCTTAGGACAGAAGCTTAAGAGTAGAAGAATTGACTTAGTATTTGTTCCTATGATCTGCCCATAATACAGCTTTACAGTATCTAAATTTATATTTATAGGGATACATTTATATTTAAATGTGCTCAAAAATCATCCTTGTGTTCATCACAGATAATCACACTACAAAAACACTGCCTTAAAATACATTTTAACACCAGTTTGAGGAAAGATAATTTGTGTGTTGTCTATCTCTATTCATGTGTATCTCTATAATATTTAAACCTGTAGTATAATTTGCATTTTATTGAAGGCTAGACCACATCTCAATCATTCCTAATGCTCTTGCTCTTCAAACACTTATACTTGGTTGTAACGCAATCCACAGGGGTCTCACCGAAAACACGCTCTATCACATTCAGGACAGAGCTTTTTTTCACTCTATTATTGCCCAGCAAAGGCTGAAATTGCCTTTAAAGTTTTTCTGGTGTAGCTATGGCTGGAATTACACCCTTTTGCTGGCATAGCTATGTCTGTCCATGAAAAACTGTCTCATTAAAGGTCTAGGGATTTTTTTCCCTACTAAAGAGCTGGTTTAAATCCCAGTGGCAAAAGCACCACTGCTGCTCATCCAGAGGTGGTTTCTTTATACAAATCTATTGAGAGAGCTACAGTGGCAAACACATAACTAGTCAAAAGCATAACAAGCCAAAGTGGTGCAATCATTTTCCAACGTCACACATTTTTCTGTTGCTCTACGCACTTCGCTGGTGGATTTTTGGAGGACCACCCCTTCCCCAAAGCAGCGTCAGGGCTGGCAGGGGATATCCCTTGGTGAAGCAGCCACTCACCCCATGGAGCTTCATGTAGAGGCCGCAGGCGTTGCAGACGGGCTCGCCCTCGGCGTTCCTGCGCCACAGGGTGGTGGTCGTGGTGTGGCAGTTGGCACAGGACAAGCCCATCCGCCGCGACGAGGGCTGGGTGGAGGCAAGCACAGGCAAACACGGGTGTAAACAGGTGGGCAGCAGAGAATGATTTACGTCTTTATGGTTCGTAAAAAGTCCTTTAACACATGGCGGGGATGGAAGGAGCCTTTTTTTATAGTATCTGTCAGCAGCAGCCCAAAATTAGAACAGAATTATCCTCATATCAGAGTGGAAAGACAGTGTGAAGAGGTACCGAATATCTTTCAACCCTGAGCAGTTGCAGCAGAGGCAAAATTCTCATCTGGGAGCTGGTGACCAGAAATCTGTTCAGACCACCAGGCACTGGGTCTTTTTCCAGCAGGGCAGCTAGGAAATATCTTCACTACAGGTCCAGTGAGCTGAACAGAAGGCACATCCCTCCCGTGCTGCCTCTCCAGCCCGTTCAGTGCCTTCACCCCTGTATGGTGGGTGAAGAGGCTGCTCTGATCCTGCCACTGATATTCCTGACTCATTGGGAAAATCAGCCGCTTTAATCACCTGCCCTCGGTGGCACCACATCTGGGGAAAACTTTCCTGGGCATCCCAGGGGTAACACATACAACAGCATTACTTTCATAAAAAGATCTTTTTATCATCACCCATTTTATCCTCATACAAAAAACCGGCGTGCCTTGGGAGCGTGTTTTACAGAGCAGAGCCTCCCTCGGCCAGCAGAAAAGCTGGTGGGTGACAACAAGGTTCCCACTGCAAACAAGCCATTTATGACACTCTTCCGTGGAGTTTGGAGCCAAGATGAAGCAACTCTGTATCAGAAATAACCATATAACCCAGAGCTTTATGGCTACAGGCTGTATATCATAAGTGAAGGCAGTCCTCATAAACATGTGAAATGAAGGTGAATGGGTTATAAAAGTCCCTGTAACAACTGATCTCTTTTACGTTCATCACAAGCAAAGAATTCCAGCTACATCATAAATCTAGTCTTTTTCAAAGTATCGCATTGTCAAAAAAATACAAAAAAATCTGTGCCTAGCTCTGTGTCTGGCAGCTGAACAAGTTTACACGGAGAAGTCAGTTTTAGAGGATTGCATTAATCTTATTCTGACCATAAAGTGCCCATAACTGAAATTACTAACTTAAGGGTACAATGCCCTTCCTCTTGAATCATTTACTGCTGGGTTGTTAGACATAACTGGGTCACCTTTGATACCACAGGGCTGCCTGCCACTGGGGGAACCGATAAAAATGTTTTGAGAATGAAGAATATTCCAGAGTAATAACTGAGTTTCTTGAATATTGTCTTTTTGAGTGTCTTTAGCAGTAAGCCATCATTTTACACCACAGCTCGGAAAGAGCTCCAGATTAAATACAAATTTTGTAATCTTGAATCAGTAATCCATTATTAACTGCACAGAAAAAAAAAGCTAACCACCCAGCCAAGTGTTATATAGGCTGAAGTACACAAATACAATTTTTAGTCTTAAAAATCCAAGTATCATGAAAACAGAATTTTTCACCTAGTTATTAAATATGTACGCACACAGCTCTCAAATTATGCCCTCAACTCAATATGTATTTTATGTGATCACATTGAGTAAAATAAAGCTGGTCATAACACACATGCTTCGTTTTCTTTCTCTGCAAGTGAAATGCTGTCAGCTGTTTCACTCTGTTAAATCTTTCTCTTTCCTATGCAGCCTGGTCTGAACCTTCATACGTTTTATTCCAATAGCTTTTGCTCATTCCCGTATCTAAACAGACATGGAGTTTTGGCATGTTTTGAAGCTAAAATGACTTTTCTGATGCAGGAATTTTATCAGAAACTTTGGGGCAATCTAAACATGTTTAGCGTTTTCAAAACATTTTCCCTTCTCACCTACATATTTCCAACTGTATGAACACAGAGTCACGGTTGATTTATAGTTATGGCCAGGGTACTCGGTAGGGATTGTTACACAAAGCTATTTCACAGTTATTTCGCTGAGGTGTCAGACTGAAATCGGGCTGTAGTTTGACTCTGCTTTAGTCTTCTCACCCCCACCCCTCCCTCAAAAAAAAAAAAAAATTATGAAAAAAAGGACACAGAAATGCTAGAGCAGGGTGTCAGCTACTTGAAATCTGCCTTGGGCCAGGGTGCCACAGCAAGCTGGGCTCTGACGCTTGAGACAATCGGCAGATCTGGCCCCTCCGCTGCCTCTGTGCCCGGTAATGAGGTAACACCTTGTGTCATGAAATTTACCGGACGACCAGGTAGGAAAAACAGACACCCAGCATCAGTAAACCTCTGACTTAAAGTTAAATTAACTCTTTGGCTTAAAGAAAGGTCCTTAAGCAGAGGTGGGTTGGTTCCCAAGCGCTTACTGTCTGCTCCGATCATCGAGTGCTTGGGTCTTGTTTCCCCTCGCTCCCCTAAGAGCACTAAATTCAAATGGCTGTGAAATAAAGAACAGTAGGTGTTTCAGCCCAAGCAAAACAGGCATGGAGCAAAGCAGCTGGCATGATTGAAAGGGGTTTGAAAGGCTGATGGGTTTGATACACTGTCTCCATACACAAGGGTCCAAACATCAGCTTGGATTATAGTGGTGTGATTTATTGTGGCTCGCCCAGTAACAGCCATTACTGAGGAGCGTATTCTTTCTGTCTGCTGACCTCCACCCAGATTTGCTAAACATAATGTGCAGTTCCCGCTTGTTAAATTTTCTCCTTGCCTATTCAGTGCCAGCCTGTGTTATAAACAGGGGTTCTGGTTTGTACTATTTATTTCCCCCCCTAGTTTTAGGAGTATATTTTTAGAAAAATTGCCGCTCATTTCTTAGGAGTAAAACAAAACAAAGGCTATTATCATTGTTTAAACAATTGGTTTTCTTTGAATTATATACAAAACTTGCTTACATTCCCAAGGATCGAGCTCTCAGCAAACAAAGCAGGTCTGGAGAAATTCCTAGCCCTCTGAACAAACATTTTCCAACCTTGATTTCTTTTTTTTTTTTTTTTCTGTTGAAATGTCTAGTATCACCAGCACAAATTTCTTCCAAGCCACTGAATCCCCCTCACAGATGGGGCTCATAGCCTGAAAAGCCCGGCTGGCCTGTGCCCGATATGCAGCTCACAAGGGGGCAGAGAGAAGTTTTGCCAGCTCAGAGAGCCTGGAAGTGGGTCCGAAGCGGTTCCCAAAAGGCTGCCGGCCCTGTCACCACTCACTGTGACCAGTTTGGCCTCCAAACCTGATCAGGAGCCCCACTACAGTTTTGCAGCCAAGAGGATCACCAGGCTAATACGCGGCTAGTTGCTCTCCCCCGTCTTTGCCCCAAATTTCTCCCTCAGTACAGCTGACTGGGGGTCCTTTGGGCAAAGCTCCTCTGGGCCCCCTCCTCCCTCCCTCCCTCTGTCCCGACTCACCACTCTCTTTTGGGGCTTGATGAGGGGCCGGCTGAGGCCGTTCATTTTGGTGTAGAGCCCGCAGGCGTTGCACAGGTAGTTGCCGGTGCCGTCCCTCCTCCACAGCGGGGTCTGGATGGAGCCGCAGTTGACGCACTCCCGGCTCTCGGACAGGTCCTCCAGCAGCTCTGGGGGCAGGAGCAGAGGGGAGAGGCGGTGGGGCACGGCCGCGGAGCCCGGGGTAGCCCCGCCGAAACCCGGGCCCCGGAGAGCCAGCAACCGGCCCTCGGAGAAGCGATTCCCCGGCAGCGACGGCGGCCATGCGGCGATTTTTTTCTACAAAATCCCTGGGGTTTTTATTTTCCTTTTTTCCTGGTTTGTTTGTTTTGGTTTTGGTGTTTAGTTTTTTTTCCTTTTTTTCCCTATTTATTTAAATGTGCCAGGCCCGCTGCCGGCCCCCGGAGCCCTCGCTCTCCGAGCCGGTGCGCCCCGGACACCGGCCCGCCGAGCGCTCAGCCCGGCCCGCCGCCGCTCCCGCCGGGATTTCACCCTTGGGAAGTTCGGCTGGGGTCCGCTCGAGGGGCGAAACCCCCTCCGTGGTGCCCACAAGACGGAGAGGGAGGTGCACTCGCCTTTAGAGGGGAGCAGAGTGGGGAGCGAGGCGGCTGTCAGAATAGCCGCTTCCAGAGCCACCCTGGGAGCTGGATGTTAGGAGCTTCGTTTTGCCCAGTATTCCCCAGGGTCGAAGCTTGGCAAGAACTTTTCTACCCTAACTCTTATTTTAAATGCCTCGGAACTAGTAAAGCTTCGAGTTTAGAGGCAGCGTTTGGGGCCCTGGTGTGCCAAGGCAGCGAGGGGCAGTGGCCGCTTCGCCTCGGCTGTTTGGTCAAATTAGAGCTGGTTTGTAGGAAACAGAGGAAATGGAAAAATAAGCGGTATTGTGCCTCCTGCTTTCATAGCTACTGAGCACTGAGGGGAAAAAAAAAAGTATAAAAGCACGGTGGGGGGGAAAAAAGGAAAAGTAAAAGAGAGAGAAAACCCACCTATAAAAGCTAATAGTTGCACCCATGTGAATCCCTGTTCTGATTCACCTCTCCATATTTCCATATTTCAAGGAAGGGGGGAATAAATACTTTATATAGACTGTGCCACGTTGGGCAGAAATAATAAAAGGAGATATTTGGATTTTCACAGCAGCTTTCGAGTCGAGTCTGGGAATGTATGTTTCAGACTCAGAGCTTCGTCATTGATTTTTTTATTTCCTCCCTTTGCTACCTGCCTAAATTCATCATTGGGTTATTCCCTAACGTTTCACTGCACAGCCAAAGCCAGCTCGTAAAGGTGGAGCAGCTTCGGAGACGGGGCTGCGGTGACACGGCGGGCACTGAGCTGAGAAAGATTCGGCCTTTTGGCCCGCACCCTCCCAAACACGCTCCTCTCCTCCCTTCCTTGGCGAATTATTAGGCGCTAAAGAGGAACGGGCACACGGCACAGCCCAGAGAGCACAGTTCAACTTACGTTGTCAGCTCCTAGCTCTTAGCACTTCGCTAAGATTTATTAATCTTTGCACTAAAAGCACCATTGAAGACTGTAACCAGAAAAAATGTTTACGACGTCAAGGACGCTGGAACTTAAACAGTATTTCGTCTCGGCTACTTATTTTATAGCATTGCCTTTGTGCCTGCAGAAAGAAATTCTGACGTGACAATATTTCTCGGGCATTTTCAAATATTTTTCCCCTTAGAGAGTGAGTACTACACTTATTTCCAAAGAAAACAAAATAAAGTTTTAATTTTAGATACTGTTTTAGCCTCTCTGAGTACCGTTAAGAAAGCTTTATCAAACTGTCTAATATTTAGCCGCAAAAAATACATTTCGGCTACAATTTTTCCACAATTTTGACACGGGACAACGCGTAGCTTCGGCTTTGCTGCCGCGTTTTGCCTCACAGGAGCAGAAAATTCTCCCGGCCCTGGAGCTCCGGGCTGCTTCGCCCCGCGTTACACCGCGTTGTGGATGCCCTGGCACCCGTCCTTTCCCTCGTGGAAAGGCTAATCCCTACCCCTCCGGCCCCCAGCACCGGTGGGAGGGAGGCACAAGGGCGGGAGAGACCCGCTGGAGCAGGGGAAGCTGCTGTGCTCCTCGGCTGCCTTGACACTCCTGCCTCCAGCACCCGGCAGTGCCCGGCTCCTTCACGTCTCTGCTCCTTCTTGCTCACCCCTCTCCTCTCCCTGCCGTGGGATTTTCCAGCCCCACGTCTCTCCCGACAAAATTTAAAAAAAATAAAAAGAAAAAATTAAAAACACGAATGATTTTTTTTTACTCTCCATCACCTAGTTTCACACTATAACTTTTAAAAGTCCAGCTTAAAACTCAACTTTCTTGTTACCCTGAGATGTGGCTTCTCCTATCACTGCTACAACTGATTTTCTTCCCTCTGTCAGGATATTAAACACCAAGTGGGAGGATTAAAATAATTAAATTTACAGGGTGTCATCGACAGACAGGAGGAGCATTGTGTGTACAGCCCTACAGAAAGACAAAAATCCATGGGGTAATTTCTGCAACACTGCACTGAAAGAGAAAATCACGGTGCCTATAAAATATATGCACCTGGTGGGTAGTTTATGCTTAAAGTGAATGAGGATCAAATCTGTGTGCATACACATATTTACATAAATATGTATATATACATAATAAATATATGCAGAGCATGTATATATAAATACATTACACAGCCACACACACCTCTCTATAAACCTCTATTTATATATACATAGATTTATTCTAAAGCTGAAGAGATTGCAATAATCGTTAATCTTTCTACCTCTGACTAAATCATCGCAGCTCAAACTCCACTTTCACAATTGATTTAATGACACCGAGAATCTCCTTAACTAAAACAAAAAATAAGCATGGGACACCTCGGAAATGAAAGCAAAGCCCCATCAGGAGATGCTGTATTTTAGCAGCAGTTTACAAATCAAGTTTTCTCATTCATATACGAGATTTTGCTTCGCTGATTTTCTTTTTTAATGAAGCAGCGAAGTTGTTTTATAGTTGAAATAATCCAAAATGGGTTAAGTGAGCCCCTGCAATTTTCCTCTATGATACAAGAACGATTAATTTGCAGTGAATTTGTCACCGTTTCTTGTCCAGATGGCCGCATTTAGGGAAAGCAGGAACGCACCGATTTGGGAAAATTAAAAATTAAGTTTACACCGGGCAATTCGTTTCGGCATCTTTGGGTCGGTAACCCCGGCTGCCATACCCCAAACAACGCCGAGGTGTATCTTTCCCCTAACTCAACACAGACGGCGGGAGCTACCTCCACTCCGGACCACGGTCCCGGGACCGCCGCTCGCCAGCGAGCCCTGCCCGGGGCGGCCCCGCCGCCGCTCCCGGAGCCCCCGGCACCCCGCCGCCCCTGCAGCCCGGCATGCGGCCACCCTCCCTGCCCTGCCCTGCCCGCGGCTCCTACCTGCGCTGGGTGCCCGGACGGGGATGGGGGCGGCCCGGCCCTGCAGGCAGTGCAGCATGGAGTTCTCGAAGGGCGCCGTGGGCCAGGCAGGGGCGAGCTGCGGCCCCACGTAGGACGTGTAGGGGCCCGGGTAGGAGCCATTGAGCGGCCGGGCCAGGGGGCTGTACTGCTCCCTGGCGCCCAGGCTGTTGCTGTAGGCGCCGGGCTCCCGGGAGGCCCCGTTGGCCACCGGCGGGCTCGGCGAGTAGGGGAAGCGGCCCGAGGGGTGGGAGCCGCCGCCGCTGCTGTACGAGGGGCTTTCCGCGGCCGGCTGGGACCAGACGGCGTGGCCGCCGCCCGGGTGGCTGGGCTGGGCCGCGCCGCTGCCCTGCAGGTAGGGCAGCGTGGGCAGCATGGAGCCCACGCGGGTCGTGGGCACATAGACGGGCGAGCTGGGCGTGGAGTGCATGAAGCCGCCCGGAGATCCGTCGTAGGGCGTGGGGCCCTGGGCGGCCGAGATGGCGAGGGTCTGGTACATCTCCTCGGGCTGCTCGGCGCCGAGGGCGCTCAGCTTGGGGCCGCGGCTGGACCAGATCAGCTTGTTGGTTTGGTCTAAGTCCGCGAAGAGCAGGATGTCCTCCCAGCCGGCGCGGCCGGAGGGGTGCGGGGTCCCGAAGTGCACGTAGGGGGCGAGCAGCGACCTGCCCTCGGCGGCGGGGGGCGGCCGGTGGCTGCCGTCGGTCTCCGGCCGAGGAGTCTTGGAGGATCCGCGTTCGCCCTGGGAGCCGGAGGAGGAGGACGGCGAAGGAGGAGACGGGCGCGGCTCCCTGGTGGCGAAGGGACAGGAGGAACCGCCGGCGTCCGCAGCGCACCGCTTCACCGCGCACCAGCCGCCTTCAGCCACGGCCATCCAGGTCCCCTTCTAGCCGCTGGGTGTGGATGGGGAAGGGCGAGGAGGGGAGGAGGAGGAGGAGTGGAGGGGGGGATCCGCAGGGCAGGGCGGGGAGGGAGGACACAAAAGAGCAGGGAAGTGGGGGAGAGAGAAATAATAATAACAAAGTTTGCAAACAGGACAGCCCGTCTCCCTCCCGTAATGAGATTCATCAGGGCTTATCTGGCCCCTCTGAGCGCTTAATCAGTCATGTCGCCTCGGCGCTGTTGTCCCTCGCCCCGGCGGAATGGGATCAGGCAGCCCAGGTCAAGACGAGCCGGGAGACGCCAGTCCCGCGGGGCCAGGGCTGCGGCTCCGGCCCCGCTTCCCGCACGGCGGGAGGGCTGCTCCCCGCTCCCTTCGCATCCCGGGATGCGGATTTGAACGTGAAGCACGCCGGGGCAAAGGTGGGCGTAAGGGCGTGGGGACGGAGGGGGGCGAGGGGGCATTTTTCCCTGTCTCTGCCCTTTCTTGGCTGCTGCCGTTGTTATGATTATTTCAATGAATGAGTCATTTGACTCGGTTCCACCGAGAAAACAATTAGTAAGGCGATCCCTTTAAGGTTACTTCGCCGGAGAGCGATGTTAGCCCTTCCGCGCATCGCCTCGCTTGTTTGCCTATTTCCAGCCCAAGGTCACGGAAAGGAGGAGGAGGAGGAGGAGGGAAAGGCCCCTGAGGGACGGGAGATGCGCACGGGCCGGGCCCGAAGCGTGCGGGGCGCGGACCGAGGCCGGGCGGGGTGTGCCTGCCGCAGGGGCCGGATCCAGCCCCGGCTGGGCACTGCCCCGAGCCCCCGCACACCTTGCAGCGCTGACACCCGTCCCGAGCCCAGAGGTGCCAATTCGGGGCTGCCGGCATGAGCAAGGCCGGACAGACAGACACAGAGAGCCCCGTGCCCAGCCCCTAGGGCAACGGGTAGAAAGCGAAAGGGGACGCAGAGAAGTGACAGCAAGAGAAGGCGAGGCTCTCCGTTCTCAGCCCACCTCGGGGCACTCCAGATAACCACAGGCACAAGATACAGGACACACACACACTCAGAGCCCCCTCGCAGATAGGCACCAAATACGTCTCTCCCTCCTGCGAGATAACTGGAAGATAAGGCTCGGGCAGATAAGAGCTGCAGGCAGCGGCATCGGATGTTTGCCCACGCATCTGTCTCCCTCGGGCTCCCCCAGCCAGGGGCAGCCGCCGCCGCGCCGCGCTCCCCCCGGAGCGCCCGAGGGCAGAGAGGCAGCGGCAGAGGAGCGAGAAAGGACAGGAGAAACCGCGGCGAGGCAAGGAAAGAGAGGGGCCAAACCTGATGCCGGTGCCCCGCATGGGGCCGGGGCGCGGGGCCGCGGCGGGCGGTAAATCCAGTGCGGCGGGGGCGAGCGGCGGCGGCGACTCCGGCGGCGGCGGCCGGCGGCTCATGTATAAAAAGGAGAGAGGAGGCGCCTCTCGCAGCCCTGCCGGAAAACTGCAGGCAGCCGGCCCTGATTGGGCTCGGCCAGCCCTAAACAAACACGGGGCTCCGCAGGGGTGCCAGTCCCGGGGCCAGCCGGGCCGCCGCAGCCCCGGGGGCGGGGGCGGGGGGGCACCTCGGGGCGCCCACAGCGAAGGGGCGACGGAGCCCCGCTCGGGGAGCACGGACGAGCAGAGAGGGCTGGCTCTGCCAGATACCCCAGCCTTTTTTCTTTACCTTTTTTTCGTTTTATTTTTTTTTTTTAATTTTATTTATTTATTTTTAACCCAGAAATAATACAGCCAGATACCCCAGCCTTTTTTCTTTACTTTTTTTCTTTTTCTTTTTTTTTTAAATTTTATTTCTTTATTTTTAACCCAGAAATAATACGCACTCTTCCCTCCTTCCTGGATATTTTTTTTAATGGTGAATATTCAACTTCTGTAAGGTTTTTGTTTTTCTCCGCGCCTCCCGGCATGTCAGCGAATGTCCCCTGGCAGCGGCCCGGGGGGAAGTGTGCCTGGCTTTCGCCCTCAGCAACAGGCGAACGCATCCCTCCATCAAATCTCCTTAGTTTGTGCTCGTCAAAATGCGAGCTAGCCGAGATGAAAAAATGTGGCTCCTCCTCGAGTTGCCCCAACCATCAGGTGAAGCCAAAGCGAGCTGTGGGATGTGTCCATCCCAACAGCTGGCGGTAGGCATTTTTCCTCCGTTTCTTTCTTATTACCCCCCCGCTCCTCAACCCTCTTATCTCAGCTGTGTACAAACTGATATGGTACTTAGCAGGAAAGTGACTGGAAATTAAAATAACTTCGTTCACCAGAGGTTATCAGCTGGATATCTGTCATCATCAGTTTGTACAGAAAGTCATCTGCGGCAAAGGGCTGGACTAGAGCAGAGCCGGGCTCTCGGCAGCCGGCAGGCATGAGCCCTCCCGACGGGAGCCGAGCCCAAACCTGCTGATGCGCTCTGCTGTCGCTCCTGGGGTAGGCACGGCTTTTCTTTCGGTCTTTCCAGGCTCGGTGAACGGGAGGTGAAGAATTTGCAGTGCTGGGGGTACGGTGAAACGCTGGCTGTAGCGAGCCGCTCTGCCGGCGTGGGTGAACCGATTGTGACTTGGAAGTTTCTTGTGCGCGTTAATTTTTGTGCTGTAGCGCGGCAGGGGTTTGATCGGAAAGCAATCACTTCCCAGAGAAACCGTTTCTTTATTAAATGGTATGATTAAAGGTGATACTTCTTTCTTGTCAGTTGTCTCTAAATAATATCGTTAAATAATATCGGTGACCCCGCAAGGCTGAAGTGACTTTTTTTTCCATTTTACTTTTAGGTGTATTTTAGTGAGTGCAATAATAAATAGAAAATAAGTTTTTGCAAGAGAGGGCAGTGATTTGTTTTCTGCCCGGCTCGTCTTCGGATCCTAGCTTGAAACGTAAAACGTTTTTGCCGTGGTTTTTACCTGCAAATGAGAGACAAGAGCAGTGCAAGCCGCGGGAGTGGATGCCCACGCCGCTTCTCCCCAGCTTGGGTGCTGCCACTAAAAATTTCTGTGCTGAAAAGCGCCGAGCTTTAAACCTCGCCTTTCCTTTCAGTCTTTTGCCCTTCTCCAGTTAAACAGGGGGTGTTTAAAACACGTGTAAAGGTGGACATAAAGCGACAAATACTCTGAGGTTTTTTGGTTTGGTTTTTTTTTTTTTTTAAAGCGACGGGCTTTGCTCGCTGGGAGGGGTTTGCCGGGGCTCATGCAAGCCCATGGGGGGCGGTGGGGACCCGCCTGGGCCCGGAGGGTGCCTGCCCGAAAGGTGAGGATGGCTGGGAGGGACGGCCACGCTGGCCTGGCAGGCGCCTCTTTCCCTGGCTCCAAAGTGACCCGCGTTTTACACTCAGGCGCCTTGGATTTTTCCCTGCCGATTAGCCTGTTTACGTTATAGCCGGGCCACAAGCTTCATTTTATTTCCTCCGATAAACACGATAAGAAAACCCGGCTTAAACTGGGAGCAGCGTGGGAAACCATTCCCAGTCACCCCTTTCCTCTCCACTCCTTTTCGTTTCGGGTTTTCTGTGGAACCGCTCAAATCATACACTCCTAACTCTTCATTACGTCACTCCTCTCCCAAATCCCGCTCTGCTGACGTAGCTTTCACCCCGGGGCTCCGGGAGGCTCCCAGGTATCTCCTGCACCATGCCTGGGTCAGGTCCCGGGGGTGCAGGGGCAGGGACATTTTTGAGGGCAGGGGTGTGCTCAGCTGCGGGAAGGAGGTGCCAACGAGGTGACCACCGCTCCTGGTCCTTGTGGCCAAAGAGGGAAGAAGGCAGATTGGGGGAAAAAGAAAGTTTCGTATCCAATTAAGGCAAATTCCCTCGCGGGCACTTCAGTCTCCCAAAAAAGGGTTGGGGGTAAGCCGTGTGCAAGCGCCGGGCTGTTGCTCCTTCCCCCACTCTCGGGTCTCTGCAAACGTGATTCCCTTACCAGGGATGCACTGGGGAGGAGGGGAGGGCTCGGTCCGGCCGCGCCCTCGCTGTCCCTGGGCCCGGACAGTCTCGGGAGCAGCGGGCATCCCCCCAAGCCGGCCCGGCCCCAGCGCTCCCGTGGGCGCCCGGCGGCTCCGGTGCGAGGGGTCACTTTGGTGACTATCGCGGGCTGGAGTGTATTCTTTTCCGAGACGTGTTTATGTAACTTAATGTACTTTAGAAACTGCTGGGGAGTTTAGGCCGGGCTGATAAGCGCCGCGGTTATTACGGGCGACGTGCCGGCACCTCTCCCCCTCTCTTCTCCCCTTCGCTTATCCGCGCTACCTAAAATATACTTTTATCAAGGCCACCCCTCGATACGGACTGTTTCCATTGCCCAGCGGCTGTGACATTGAAGCGGACATATCGATCGGGGCACGGGCGGCTCTCGGGAGCGCTCAGCCCAGCCGGGAGCTGCCGGCCGCCGAGGGCTCAAGCTCCCCCGCAGGAACGGCGGCAGCAGCCGGCGGAGCATTCCGCGTCCGCCCGGGAGGAGATGGATTTCAGAGGGATAGGGGTCTTTGACATCAGCCCTGTTCTCGGTCGGGTGGGAGAGCCCGGGGAGCTAAGGGCAGTGGTCAGCCAAAATTGACGCCCAAAGCAGCAGGATCCCCTACACGCCACAGCACGAGCAGGGCGGGCACGGTGAGCGTGCCCTTTGCGATAGATCAGGTGTGTCCCAGGGTGAGGACGGACCTCCAAACTATCAATGATGAGGAGGGAATTTTTTTGCTTTCCCCGAAATTCCTAACGAAGGGCTGCCTGGTGCTCAGAGGCCGAGCCCCAGCTCCAGCCGTCCTGGCCGCAGACAGCAGGCTGCGGGCCCCGTGGAGCAGGACACCCTGACCCGGCTCGCAGAACCTTGCCCGCTCCCTGCCGGCCGCTCAGCTCCCCCCAGGCTGAAGCCGTGCCCGGCGGCGGGGAGCGGGGCGGGAGGATATTCCCCACTGGAGTCAGCGGCCTCCCGGTCAGCTGGTGACCTGCTGCTGCGTGCTTTTGGGTGATTTCCACCGTGTCTTTAAACACTTGACTCTCAAACAAGCATCAGGCAGCAGAGACCCCGCACGAACATTTATGCAATACGTGCCCAAGTGTGCGCTTTCTGTGTAGTTAGGGTTTTTTTGTTGTGTTGGTGTTTTTTGTTTTTTTTTTTTTTTTTTTTTTTTTTTTTTCGGTTTTGGGGGTTTTTAAAAATAGCGATATGTAGCTTCTTTTTATTTGCCCTACCTCCAGTCTCTGAGGTCCGGCTAGTTAATGATTTCGGCCTTAAAAAATAAATAAATAAATAAGATCAATCAGCAAAACGCGCGGAGGAGGCTCCTGTCGCCGCGTAACCCGAGTCCCGGAGCCGGCGCTCCGCGGTTCCCGCACGCCGAGCCCCAGCGGGGCTCGCAGGATGAGCGGATGCCCTCCAGCCCCGGGGTGACCGGGAGGCAGCCGGGACCCACGCAGCACCCTAAAAACCACGGTTTAGCTGCTTCTGTCCAGCAGGCGCATACACGATTTTTCTCTTTCCAGCACATACGCAGGAACTTTGAAAATGAGTTTAGGATTATTTTTATTTCTCCTCGGCCGTTTTAAATGTTTTGGGAATCGGTGACTAAAATGGCCTAATTCTGACCGTTTTATCAACGCGCACCTCAATGCCCTTGCTAAAAAGCTGTGGGGCCGTGTTCCACTCACTGCTTGCGGGGATGAATATTGTGTATTATTTTTAACCGCATCGCCCCTTTCTGCGCACAACCGTAGATAAATCAAGTGCCTCGACTCTGAGTGCGAATCGCCTTTCACACCTAGTGAAAGAACTCGTTTCGAGGCAACAGGGCCAGAAGGAAAGGCTCCCAGCCTGGCTCCCGCCGCCCCGTCGAGGGAACAGGGAAGCGGGGGGTGGGAGCCGCCGTCGCCCGCGGCCGCGGTGGGAGCCGAGCTCTTCCCGCCGCCGCCTCTCCCGGGCCGGAGCCGGAGGGATCACTGTCCGCTCCTGTCCGGGCGCTGGGCAAGGCTTTCAGGGCTCTCTTCTGCTGGATCTGACAGGAAAACCCGGGGAAAAGTTTCTTGCTGCGAGAGGTCGTTGAGGGAGAGAGCCGGGAACGCGGGGCACGGCGGAGCCGCACTTCTCCTCCCCAGCGCTTCAGAGCCGAGCTGCTCCTCATGCTCCCCCCGTTCCCTAGCACGGATGTTAGGCAATATCAAATCCGATCTGCAATTAGCTATCCTGCCTCCGCCCCCACGCCCGCAGCACAGAGTTAATTCTTTCTCACTTAAACCCACCCCTCCCAAAAGAACTCCAACAAAAACGAAGCTAAACAAAACACCTAAAAAAAACCCACCCAACCAAAAAAAACCATCACCGATTGTTCCCTGGAACGGTTGTCGCCACCGTGAAGGAAAAAATATTGGTTTCTGTACGCATCGAAACCTGCCGGGAAACCCCCCACATAGCTGTCTTCTTACTTCTCTGTTCAGGAAATAAAGGAAACCATCAGAACAGGTCACAGTCTTCCAGTGAAATGTTTTCCACAGATCAAAATGAATATATTCTCTTGGAAGCATTTTTCGGGAGTAGCTCCGTTTCATGCATGCCCTCGCTGAGCTCCGGCGGGGCCGCTCCGTTTCTCTTGGCATGGTGGCAACCTCTCGCCTTCC